CCACAGACCAAGAGCTGCCACTGGTGGTGGCTTTTTGGGTTTTATTTTTATTTTTTCCCTTCTTCTTCACTGACAGATAGGGATGGGCGCGGGCGGGGCCCGTTCAGGCCCGTGACACAGCCGGATCTATTTCTCTGATCCCAAGTCTGGGATTAAACCCAGCCCGACCCAAGACCCACCTAGGTGCGGACCGGGTCTGACCCGGCCCGTGGTCGTGGGCCGGCCCTTGGCTTTTTCATCCAAACTTTTTCCTACTTTTTACCTTTTAATTATATTAAATTTGTATTTACAACTATAAAAATATTTTTAATTTATTTTTTAGTAATTTAAATTTGTATTAAACTATTTTTAAACTAGTATTAAACTTTTTAATCCATCTAGATAGACAGCAGTGAGCTTAAAGATCACTGCTTTATTTCTCAGTGGATCAAAAGGCCCATGAGCCAAATACCTATGACTTTTGGCTTTGCTGGCAGCTAGTTTCGGACCAAATGGGCTAAAGGAACAGCTAGTTGCAAACCCAAAGTACTAAAAGAATAACTAGCCCAACCAAAAAATATATCATATACCGGGGTGGGTCAGGCCTTGGCGGGTCGGGCGTGGGCCGGGTCTGTTTCTCTGTGCCTGGTCTGGGGCTAGACCCAGCCCAACCCGTGACCCGTGTATATCATGGGTCGGGTCGGGTCCGGCCCACTACAGGTCGGGCCTGGTCCTAACCCATGATGGGTTGGGCCAGATCAGACCGCTGGTCGACCCGACTCATGCCCAACCCTACTGGCAGACAGAAGAAAACTAGAAATGATTGATCTATAAGATCATTGGTTGGAAAATTATCGCTCTTAAACATGAGAAGAACTTAAAAACGCATTACATGTCAACTACAAAAAATTAAACAATCAACCGTAAATATTGTAGTTCAGCACGTACTGAAACCTTTGACAAAACAATCAGCATATTTATGATATGCTCAATGGATTTAGTTATCTTAGACATCAACCCTACATGGCTCTGTGTTGTAACTTGTAAGAGCTGGGGATGCAACTCATTGGAACGACTAAATCCTTCCCACTATCACCCGGAAAAATTAAAACTCCAGGATTCAACTTTGATTCAACTTTCTAAAAAGAATCTAAAAGCAGTTCAAGAACAGATTTCCCTGTTGTAGACTGAAAATGTAAGGGATGACTAGTTAAATATAACCTTTGTAGATTCTGGATCCGAAAAAAGCAGAAAAGCAATAAACCTCGTCGCATAGCAAAACCCTGGGGACGCAATGAAAACGGAAAGCGAGTTAGGATGTAAGATTGTTAATAGCAACAATGTCTCAACTAGACGAAAGAGAGATCATTCCACAAATCTCAAACCTCAAACCTCAATTTTCAGTAACACGCTTAACTCCCAAGAACTTAGCAGTAAACTCCCATGCAACAACTGCAGCAGCATTTGCAGGAAATGCTCTTATTAATGTTGGCCCAAGACCAGAATAGCAACCCCTAAGCCCCACTCTTTGGTAAATCTAAATGTTAAAAACCAAAATTAGACTCTTCTGTACAAGGTAAATTGGGTCATAATGCAGATGTTCATACCGAGTATAGTGTCTCAAAAGGATTTCTACTGGAATTTGGATCTGGTGAGGTCTGTATTATGGTTTTCGCAACATCAAACGGCAAAACAACAGTCCAGAACTGCAGAGATAAACCTAATTGTGAAAACACATAGTTTCGTAGTTTACACTGAGAAGAACAATAATTTTACAAACTTACAGCTATTCCAGCAACTCCTCCACTTAAGATGCCAACTCCTATATCAGATAATGGCTTGGAAAGTCGAGTATGTGCAGATGACAGAGAGGTCAGATGCAAATTCAGGTAATGACGGCTCAATTCATAAGTGCTAAAGAAGGTTGCAGTTCCAATAGATTCTCTCAATAAAGTGGAAAAACCACCACGGAATATACCTGTAACCTGAGAACAAAGTAAGGTCAGATTATGGATTAAGATGGAGAAAAAAAGCCAAAACCAAACTCACCCCTTCACTCCTCACAGTTGTCAGAGCACAATCTAGGGGACCAGAGTATCTAACATAAGTAGAAATTGCTGTATCTCTTCCCTGAACTTGCATTCTACACTGGAGAAAAATAACTTAAGATTACATGTCAGAAGAGAAGATCAAAAACAGCAGAACTTAAAACTTGAGATGGAAAAATGGTGCTGAATAGCTCGCAAGCACAAACCTTCACTAGCTCAGCTGGGCAAAGTATGAAGCTGATTACTGCCCCAGCAAATGCTGCTGAAGGAACAATTGCTTGGAGTTGGGGCTCACTGCTTTGAGATCCTCCCTGCAATGTAAAAAGTACAAAAGACTACGTTAGCACATACTTCCGACGACAGTGCAGACCTTCTTAAATGAAATTTGATGTAAATAGCTTAATCGCCCTACTAAGGTGTGTGAATTAGTACCAGATAGTTAGCCCAAACAAGTTATAGTCAGTAGCATAAACGAACCTGCAAAAACTGCTTCATTTGAGAATAAAGACCAAAACTGATGGAGCTCTCAATTGCCATCCCAATAAAGGAAGACGATGCACCTCTATACAATCCTTTTACCTGCCAAGATTATAGTGGCAACATGAGAAGGAAATTATAGCTAAAACTAAAAGTTGGAAAACAAGAAAAATAAAAGTTCAATCCAGTAACATAATGAAGAATGCAACTTGAAAAGAACAATGTCACACTTTGGGGACATTCAGTTAAATGAAAAAATAAATAAATAAACATGTTCAGGCATGACTAAATTCATTGGCAGGTTGGTAACTTTTCCTTCTCTGACGATGAATGCGGTAAAATTTGTTTTAATATGGTATTTCACACTGCAAGCTATACTATGTGTTGGCATAACAAAGAGTAGCCACAGGTTAATTTGATTATCAGATCAAGAAAGGTCTAGGAGGCCATTAATTTACAATAAACGTTCACATCTCAGTTTTTTCAATTCCCGACATTATATAAATAGTAATTGCACAGAGGCAGAATCAGTGCAAGAAACATACTCCCTCAGTACTCAAGATCCGACTTGCACAATGCAAAGCATTCCTATACTCCTTCACTTGTGTATTAGTGTTGTGAGCTTGCAGCTTCACCTGTCACAAACATTAATCTTTTGCTTTATCAGAGGTACATGTGCTATATATACCACATAAATATTACATACTAAGAAATAAGAGCATACAAAACAAGATAACTCTTTAAGAATTTATATTTTACAAACCATAGCCTACCTTCCACAGAAGCAGAGACAAGTCTGGCGGGGCGACAGGGGCAGTACATCCCCCAAACAAAAGGCTTCTTCAGGATATTAGAGGCCTTTGGAAATTTACTAGAAAATTTTATCTTAGCTAGAGTTTGATCTATTTATCTTTCTAGCTGAATCATTACCAAGGGGCTGGAACAAGCAAAACTTTTATTACCTAGGAATCCTAAGTTGTCTAGTGCATTGACATCCCTCATTTTCCTCAAGTAGAAGTTTCTACACAATGAAATAGAAGCTCAGGTAATGATAGAACACAAAGATATATATAGTGCACTAAAAATTGCTATTGTAACTGCAATGCAGTTTGCAAAAAACATAGAATTACAAAGTTAATAAGGTAATGTAAGTGTAGAAGAACCATTTTTTT